TGTTTTTGTTAGTTATTAGTTAGACTTTCCAGTGATATCGAATGATAACCTATGTAGCAGGGGGCGTTGCTTAAAACATAATTCTAGGTCACTTGTTTCTTTTCGGTACAGATTACTCATTACTTTGGAGTTTTTACCAGTATACTTTAAGCTTTGTCTCACACGTTAAGTAGTTCAAATTGTGTGTTCACTTTTCATCATGAGGAGGACGAAAACAAAATTTCGACTCTTTAGACGGTAAGAACGTTAGTATTAAATACTTACTGGTATCTTCTCCACTGATGGTGTCACTGTGTCCATAATGCTGTATGTTACTTTAATACGTTTACACACACGTTTTGCGATAAGCAAATGTTTTTTTTGTGTGTCTTTCTTTGGTTGTTGTCACCCAGTGATGTCATCACCATATTTAATACATTGTGACGCTATTACTGCTACTTCTGCTGCTACTCCAACCTCCTTCTACTACTACTGATGCAATTACTATTTCTACTACTACTACTATTACTACTATTACTAGTACTACTACAGCTTCTATTCCTACTACTTCTTTACTACTACCACTATTGCGACAACAACCACTGATACTACTACTACTACTACTGGTGCTTCTACTACTTCTACTACCAGTGGCGTAGCGAGGTCGGGTGTAACCCGGTGCGGCACTTAATGGTGTCACCCCCAGAGGCGAAGCGAACCTTCCCGGGGACAAACTTTCAAATTTTCGATTTTGCACCCCCCTCAAACTTTCGATTTGCACCCCCCCCCCCTCAAATTTTCGATTTACACCCCCCCGCTCAAACTTTCGATTTGCACCCCCCTCAAGTTTTACTCTATATACTTTGCTATTTTTTGCCTTGGTGTCACCCCCCTAAATGATTTCACCGGTGCGGTCCGCACCCCCCGCCCCCCCCCCCCTCGCTACGCCTCTGACTACTACTATTACTACTACTATTATTGCTACTACCATATATTACTACTCTTTCTTTCTCGTTCTCTCTCTCTCTCTCTCTCTCTCTCTCTCTCTCTCTCTCTCTCTCTCCCTCTCTCTCTCTCTCTCTCTCTCTCTCTCTCTCTCTCTCTCTATATATATATATATATATATATATATATATATATATATATATATATATATATATTATATAGTTTATACGTTTATTTCCTTGTTTATGTTTCAGTAAATACAAAGCAACATGAACGAAAGTGACTATTACGACTCCCTCGAAGACGTGGAAAAATTAATAGAACCGGTTCTCTTTAGTTCCAGTATAATCATGATGATTCTTGGAACTCTGGTCAACATTTTCCTAGTGTCGGCCATCTTGACTTCTCCGGTTTTACGTCTAAAACTCAAGAACCGAATTATAGCGATGATGTGTGTTTGCTTTCTTGGGGAGGTTTCACTTGAAATCGCTAGATCTATACTTGAGTATAAAGAAATACATTTTACCGATTATCATTTCTGGAATTTGTATATCAATACTCATGTTATTGAAGATTTCATCTCCTTATGGTATGTCGTTGTTCTGTTGATTATTTACATTGCAAAGCTCTACGACTTGGATCCAAGCAGAACTTTAAGTCTGAAGTTTGTAAAGCTAGGATCTGCTGTTATTTTAGTGATTCCATTGATATTATCAGCCACGATAATACCTGTGATGATTGAATCCATGAACAGTCATTCTCAAGACTACTTATCTATTGAAAATATGCTAAAGCTACGAGCTGTGAGTACAATTACCCCTTTTATCGTTGCCATCGTACTTACAGTTGTCGCTGGAGTTATTTACCGTCGACGATTTAGCCACGGGTTCTTGGGTCAGTCTACTTGTGTGGATCTAATCAATCGTGGGACCGTAGTGGACAGGCCTGTAGCTTACATAATAGCAACTTCTGTGTGTGTCGTCTGCTACGCTGTACACATCTTCTTCACTGTGTACCTTGTAAGAATAGTTTCCCTTCTTACTGAGTGAGTATGAATTAAAATTTGATAAATTATACAATAGAATTGATTTTTGCAATTTATTTTTACTTTACGCAAAAACATAATTTATTCACGTCTATTGAAAATAATTTCCTTCTAAACATAGAATAAACATGAAACTAATTTATCAATTGTCAGAGCAAAATTAATAAGCGAAATTTGTTTTACAAGTAAAGTTATCTAAGTATTCGAAATTTTCGGTAAGTTATTTTTTATTTATGCTAACATATATCGGAAGTAACTCAAAAATTTCCGATTCTCAGAAATAGTTTAAAAGTCGAATAGAAACTTGCGCATACAATCTTATACGTGTAAGTTAAATTTTGTTTACCTAGCTTTAATGGTGAGGAAGTTATCGGTCTTTAAGGGTCAGGAAATAGATAACATTCCACTTGCGGTTACTGAAATTAGCAAAAGAAAATAAATCCCACTTTGATTTAAAACAAATATATACAGATGGTTCTTAAATTATTGTGTCAATACACACACACAAACACACACACATACTGACGGGCATGAATTTTTTTCTGGCACCGAAAAGTTATACAACGGTAAAAGTTGTCCAAATCTCGAATTAGATTTTTCTCACCATTACAGTATATCCATTACATTCCTGAAACGGTAACTAGGAAGGTGTAAATCCCCGAAAACTATCACTAACGCCTTTTAAATTATACGAGAAAGTAGTGTTGAATAAGAGGTAAACCAAACTGGCAAAGTGGACATAACTAGATGAAATATAGTATGAGTGTAGTATTTACCAACATAATTTCATAAATCTTTACAGAATAAGACTGTATATCGTGGACGAAGTTCTCCAAGACGTCTTCACCTACTTACTTCCCTTGTCGTGGTTGTTTCTTGACGACTTGAGGGAGAGAATAAAAACATGGCGTCCGTGGCGTCGTACTAGACAGAACATTCACATTACAGTCAGCTACTCTAAAGAAGAAATACTTGATGAGTCTCATGCAGAAATATTTCTGTAATTTTGTTTAGAAAAGCATGTTTTAAATTTTAAAGCTTTGTCAATAATTTATGTTTGGAATATAAACATATATATATATATATATATATATATATATATATATATATATATATATATATATATATATATATATATATATATATATACGTGTGTGTGTGTGTGTGTGTGTGTGTGTGCGAGTGTGTGTGTGTGTGTACATAAATAAGTATTTTGAATTTTTGAATAAACGTATAATACATATTAATCATTTCTTATTTCCATGTAACCTATAGATTGGAAAATTCTTCCATTAATAGATAAAACTAGACGACCCAGTTTGCCTTTGTAAATGCAACGAAATCTAAGAGGGCAGCACACACAAACACATTAAAAAACACACAGTAACAATCATTCACACAAAAACCTAATCATTCACTCAAAAACATAATAATTCTCACATAAAAATAATCTTTCACAAAGAAACACATAATGTGCCACAATAATAGTGTCACACCTAATATTTCGCACAGAAACGCAAAGGATTACAAAATACAATGAATCAATCAATCACACAGAAACACAATTAACCACACAAAAATAGTCACAAACAATAAGTCACACAGAAACACAAAAGACCACATAAAACCACATATGGTGACGAATAATCACACAAAATCACAACAAAACACAACCATTCTCATACAAACACGGAAAAAACATTATCAATAACATAAAAACACCAGGAAACATAAATAATATTACTTAAACATACATAAACACAACAAATCATAAAAACAAATAAACGTTATTAATCTCACAAAAACACCCTGAAACAGAATAACTTTCACAAAAATAATCAAATTTGTTTACAATGAAAAACTACATTTTCCATTTTTTTTAAAACACGTTCATTTCTGTTCATACTATAAAATATATGTTTATGTATGTTTACTTCTCTATTCTGCCAAAGGAAACTAAAGAAAATACTAAGTTCGATTAAAAAACAACCAACATTTAATATTTTTGTTTTTTGGTGCAGTAGGTAAATACTTTTAAAATAATTGTTATTGCATTATAAATTTCACGCCACGCCTATGGTAAAAAAACAACAAAAAACAAACATGCGCAATGAATACGTAAGTGGCAAATATGTAGGTCAGTCGTCAGCAGTAGTCCTTCAACCTATTGATAGAAACGCATCACAGCAGCCAACAAGTAGGCGAAACTCTGGTTCTAATCTAAACATTTTACGGTGAGTTAAGGACTTTAATTTTTTTTAAGTCAATCTATAGTGTTTGCATTATTTAGATTATCCAATAATGTTTCTCTATTGTTTTGTTATCTTTGTTGTTTACTTCATAGAAAACTTGCTTGTGAAGACATTACGCTGGTCTACAAATCATATCGATTGTATACATGCGAATACAAGAACATTTTTATTTATGAACGTTTTACAAATAGACACATATAAACACACACACACACACACAACACACATACATATATATATATATATATATATATATATATATATATATATATATATATATATATATATATATATATATATATATATATATATATATATCGCCTCAATCATTTCAGAAAATTTCTATCAGAATGGCAACTATGAGCGAAGCAACTGATGTAAAGAATGATACAAATCTACAGTACGAAGATAGTTTCCAATCAACTATTTCATTACAGCAATCTCTTCTAACGCGCTCCACCAAGGCCTGCATCGTCCTGGGGGGTTTCGTCAATATTTTTCTTCTTGTTGCTATCATGACTTCTCCAGTTTTACGGTTGAAACTAAGGAATCAGATTTTAGCTGTCATGTGTGTTTGTTTTTTGCTTGAAATTATTATAGAAAGCACTGTAGATATAGTTACAATGAATCACGAATTTAGTTTATTTTGTGAACTTTTAGATGGATATAATTACATTCACGCGATGTTGGATTTTATTTCAACATGGTACATTGTTGAGCTGATAATAATCTACATAGCACAGCTAAAGGATATTGACCCAAGTAAATTGATCAACATCAAATGTGTTAAGTTTGCAACACTTACTGTTTTAACGCTTCCTCTCATTTTATCAAGCGTTATAATACCGCCTTTTATCAAAGCAAACATGGACTATTGGTCCATAAAAACCTGCACTTTTATAAACTTTAAAGAAGACCACAATTTAATGGCTGTAACCATCACAATTCCGTTGCTCAGTGCCATCCTGTTGCTACTTGTTGCTTTAGTCTGTTATTGGCGACGATTTCGAAAAGGACTTGGAGTTCCGTCCGATCATGATGAGACGGTAAGCCAACGTCACATCGTGGATAAACCTTTTGCTTACCTAATGGCAATGTTTGTGTCTATCGCCTGCTATATTACCAACGTCTTACACATTATTGCCGATTCAGCAGGCTCGTCGAAACTGACATTGTAAGTATATTTTAAAATTAAAAAAAAACATATACATAAACTAACTGCAGTTTTAGACATATAGTCTCATAGTTTAAGAAGATAGATGCTTTTAATAGATGAATTATATTTGAAATTAAATGTAGATTTATTATGTAGGCTTATACATGCGGAAACTATCTGAAAATAGATAAAAGAAACGTAATATTTTAACGAATACTTAAGTAAGAAGTTGTATTTCAATGGTTAGCGAAATCATGGCTTGTTGGCAGAGCTTATGGGTACTAGAAAAAAATGTCCTAATTAGAACTCAAGCATGGGAGAAAACTCTGATATCAAACAAGAAAATAGCTCTTTAGCTCTAAATTTACCAACTCCTGTTTCCTTTAGGTAACTTCAGTGAAGTTAGTACCGTTCGGAATGCTCCGCATTCCTTTAGGTAATAACGGTACAGTTCGAAGGATGAAGAAAAACTGGCTATACATGAACTCTTCAACAAATGCCTTAATACACTCACATTCAGTTCCACTTCAAGATTTCATACATTGTCCTGGACGGCAACAATGCGAAATTCATAATTTATTTAAATACAATAAATATAGACTTGAAAATAGTATATTATTGTTTTGGCTAAAAATTAATATTCGGGGACTTTTCAATTAAAAACTGAATTATAAAATATAGGCTTGTCCTATGAACTGATAGACATTTTCAACCAAAAAGACTGTATGTGGTGTGTCTACATCACACATAAGAAATAACCAAAAGATGTAAAAATGGATTTGAGTTCATTATTATGAGGTATCATTATTGAAGTGAAATTTGACAACAGAGTGACACACTACCTAGCGGCTTATGTTATGGAAACGTATGGTTAAAACTGAATGCTTTATGGTTTCAATAGCAACACAAAAAAATTATACAACGGCAAACTGTTTGAGCTTTTAAGCCATCTAAATGAAAAAAAAAGACTTCTGAATGTTATAATTGTTTCTTAAAATACCAATATTAAGTTGAACATTCGTCTATACATTTTCTTTACAATTTTTTTTTCTAAGAGAATATGCATTAATATGGTCTCATCATTGAATATATTAACTAAAATTATTTGAGTGTATGTAAAAGTTGTCTACAGTAAATGTATATCAGACATAAACAATTACTTTAGATTAAAATCAAATTACTCATTACAAATGTTGAAGTCAAATTCTGATTTAGGCTGTAATTAAATGTTGTATTCTCCAGACTAAGAGTTTATTTGGCGGATGAAGTTCTCCAAGACGTTTTCACATACGTTCTACCCTTGTCGTGGCTGTTTTTTGACGACGTGAGGGAGAGAATAAAAACGTGTGGTTCGTGGTGTAGCAATGAACAGAACGACAACCAAACAGCTACAACAAACGATAAAGAGTTTGATGAGGAAAATGGAATTTCAGATTTCTAATCAGTTCCGAATAGTCTGAAATATTACCATGAATTAACACATTGAGAATTACATAATTCTTAATATCATATATATGTATAAATATATTATAAATATAAATATATATATATATATATATATATATATATATATATATATATATATATATATATATATATATATATATATATATATATATATATATATATATACATATATTATATATATATATATATATATATATATATATATATATATATATATATATATATATATATATATATATATATATATATATATATATGTGTGTGTGTGTGTGTGTATGTGTGTGTGTGTATACTTATACTTAAAAACAATCTGTTCTCTAAGGTTGCTCGAATATCAAACAGCATCTTTCTAAAAGCCAACTTTCCTTAATACCGACGCTTACATTTCAATGATTAAACATAAATGCTACTGTATATTGTCTTATAATTTTGTTTAATTTTTGTAACTGCTTGTTTCATAATTGGTTTTTGCCTTTGTCGGTATAGCTTCCTTACTTTAAAAAAAATGCTGTGGTGAGTTAGACTACTGTAATAACAAAGCTCTATTTCACAAACTTTTGCAGCTTTATCATGTTGTTTGTTTCCGCGAAATGCGTAACCCGTCATCAGTGGCGTAGAGAGGTCGGCTGTCACCCGGTGCGGCACTTAATGGTGTCACCCCCCAGAGGTGTTGCGACCCTTCCCGGGGACAAACTTCCACGTTTTCGATTTGCACACCCCCCCCCCCCCTTAAACTTTCGATTTGCACCCCACCCCCTCATGTTTTTCTCTATATATTTTGCTATTTTTTGCTTTGGTGTCACCCCCCATAAATGGTATCACCCGGTGCGGTCCGCACCCCCCGCCCCCCCCCCCCCTCGCTACGCCCCTGCCCGTCATATAGTTTTTTCGTATTTCAGATGCAAAATATCGATCACTATTTGGCTTGAATCTCAAACATCCGCATGTCAAAGCGCTTGTATGTTGAGATACCACTGTATTCTGATACTTACTTATATATGTATATATATTATATATATATATATACATATAAATAAATATATATCTATTATATATATATATATATATATAATATACATATAATATATATAATATATAAATATATATATATATATATAAATATATATATATATATATATATATATATATATATATATATATATATATATATAATATATATAATATATAAATTTGAATAAATTGACTTTTTAATTGCTTTAAATTTGGTGCACATAAAAATAAAGCTTACTCAAAATATTTGTTTCATTTTTGTTGCATATTTTATTTATTTTTAAAAATCAAAAGTAATTACTACAGAAAATCTAAACGTGACAAGTGCTACTGAGTGTTAGATTTTTTAGATTTTTTACATCTTTGACCGACCGACCGACCCACCTACCAACCAAACGACCCACCCATCTACCCAATCCACCGACATAACGTCTCACCCAAGGAACGACCAATCGACCAACGACCGACCGACCGACCGCACAATTGAACGAGCGATGTTGAACATAAGTGTCTGCTTCGAGTGTATCCTCTTCAACATCTCACTGTCTACACCGTACAATGTCATTTGTAACTGAAATCATTGTGTCACATACATGCACATTCACACACATACACATACCGGCATATAAAAGAGGCTTTTAAGACAGTTACAAGAGCGACTAAACATTCCAAGCTACGGTGATGAACTATCTAAGTATACCTAGCTTGGCTATGCAATTATATTTATAATGAAGTGATTATGGCAGACGATCATGTAGGAGCGACTAAACATTCTACCTAGCTTAGCTAACAATTATATTTATAATGACGTGAGCATAAAACACGATACTGTAGTGTGAAAAGTGAGGTTACTTTTTATAGTGGGGTTGAATTAGATAACGATGTGTTGCCAAGGGGGGGGGGGGGGACATAAATATATTACTTTCTATATACACTACTTCATTGACCCAATACAGTCAAGTGCAACATTTAAACTCTAAAGAGTGTAACTATCGGCGAGTATGTTGTTTATTGTTCATCTGAACAATTAAAACAAAACACTTGAGCGGTCTAGACAGATGAGTACGAGTTCAAAGTTAAGGTTCTGGAGCGTCTACTAGTCGCAGGCTCAATGCCTTTGGTGGCACGGATATGTCCAAGCGATGTGGTGTTGACCAATTAGGGGGTCGTCCATAAACAATGTCAAACTTATAGTATGGGCAAGGGTAGGGGAGGGGGTAGGACTTGCGACGATGTGAAACGAACGACAGCAGTTCCGAAACTATGATAAAACCACAGTGTCATTTTAGAAAGTAATGTTAGAAATTAAAATTCAGTCGTTAGTTTGCTATTTTTTTTTTAAAAAAAAGGACATTTTTTGTAAATTGCAACAAAAATGGATTAAGATAATAAATATTGACCGAGCTCAATAAATATTTTATTGGCGTTATTAATAGATGGGGGGGGGGGGGTAATATTTTGTGACGGCGTGTGACAGTTTGAAAGGGGGAGAGAATCGTAAGTTTTGAAAGCGGGACGTCTTTTGTGAATGACACATAGATGCATACAAGTTGTTCAAAAAATAAGTTCCATTATTATAATTAAAAAATAAGTAATCTTATCAACAAAGTATTTATTAACATTTTGATCGGTGACATAATTTAACGTAAAAAGAATGCGACACCAATTAGACAGATTCAATTATTTTTTTAAGAGGCATAGTCAAATGGACATAATTTGTTGTATCATTGCACCAACTGAAACTAAAGACCAACTGTATTTCTAATATACTTCACGTTGTCGACTTCTTCTTCTTCCTCTTCTCAATTTCTCAATTTTAATTATGGAAGGGATTCCCTCCAACACAATTAAGTTTACGTGTCTCAACTGGTAATGCGCCATATAGGTCGTTGCCTCTGATTTCAGCCAGCTTTCCCTTTTCGATTTGTGCACATACTTTTGTTTTCAGAAATGCTATTTTTTAAGGAAATGTAAGTTAATTAGAAGAAATTAAAGATTTTTTAAAAATTCACTACCTAATTTAAAATTTTATAAAAAAGGAAGAAAATTTTAAAATAAGGAGCAATATTTGGATCAGGAGGAAGTCTTATAACGTGAAGAAGATAAACAATGCCCATTAACATAGCCTCAACATAGGGTGCGCATGGAGGATAAGTACTAGAATAAAGCGATAGTAATCTCCCCTAAATGTTCTCGAATATTATCATCTAACACTACGGGGGATGGAAACTCGGGATATAGACATGATATTTTTAATCACTTTTTAATTACTTCAACTTTTTAAAATAGAATGGAATCTCCTAGAAAAAAAGAATTTCGGAGCAAGGGAGCAGCAAATAATGTGTGTATAATAGTGAGGAGAATTAGTACTTTATAAGTTTATATGCGTTTCTTGAGAAATCAGAAATAGCATAAAGTACTACTTCTGGTTAACGGAATCACTCAAACTTTGACAGAAGGCCTGACAGAGAATTAGATCTTTAATTTAAATGTGAAATTTCGCCTATCTATCTGAAACAGTAGGCCTACTCAAATTATTAGTGCCGGCGCCAGGTTATCTAGCGCCCTAGTCAAAAACTTATTAAAACGCCCCCTTTAACACAAATTAATTACTAAAACATATGTGTAAGAAAACAATTAATTAAAAGTGCCATATTAATTTTTTATCGATTGCATACACGTTATAAGTTGACATCAAAATCTAATTTTACTTGCCTCCTTCGTCTCAAAAGCTTGTAATCATTCCTTCAATTCCAGTTTGCAAGCGTAATCAGATTCTATTGAAATTGTTGCGATTCCACGAGTCTACTTTGTACTTTACAACATAGCCTCCCCCTCCCTGTCCCCCCCCCCCCCCCCCCCACCTCTTACAAAATTTTAAGTGTTTCCCTTCCCCCCTCACGGAAGAAAAACATATGGAAAAAAAATTACTGTATCAAAAAAAGTTCTTGCATTGTTGGGCTTTCTACAGTCCTCCCAAGGTGAGTTCCAAAACTAAACGTACCTGTTTTAAGCTTGAATTAGTTATAATTGTAAATGTCTATATTGTGTGATTATATAACGATTTTTCGGTTTTTGAAAAATAAAAGGTTATAAATAATGTAGATTCCAGCCCAAACTTGTTATATATGAGTCCTTTAGGAGAGGGTGAAAAATATGAAAAGACAACTAACTAGATGTTTAATTTACATCTAAGACTGTATGTCTACTAACATCAAGTATTGCAATCTGTAACGGCTACTGATGTATTTATTTTTCAACTTGATAATGCTAAAAAAACCTACCAAACTTTTTTGTTTAGAACTTAAAGCTCTATAATTTTTTTCAATAGCAAATAATAACTTAAAGTTGTTTTAATATGTAAGCGGTCAACCTAAGGTGCAGGAATTTGAAATGAATGTAAAGTTAAGCAACAAATTATCTCCCATTTGAAAATGCAAATATCGAAAAATTTTTCAAGGGAAACAATTTTCATAAGAATCGCTAAAATAACCAAGTGTAACTAAGACATGCTTGAAAAACACAATAAAACACTCTAAATTTCATTACATAATAATTATAACAATTCTTTTATATTACCTATGTAACCTTGTGAAAACAATATATTTTACCTATTGAATACTTAAATGTAGGTTTTGTTGGAAAGTCTAAAACCGGTAGCTTTATTATAACATACTTCTATCCAAGTTCGATGACATACTTAAAATTGTTGGCATCAGTTACTAAATTTTTTAAAATTTTGGATCCCCTAAATAAAGGGACGCTTTCAAAAAATCAAACACGGGTAATTTTTTTAGATATTGTTGGAATTATTGATTAAATATAAATAAATATATCATTTGAAAAAAACAAAAAGTTTACGGTTTGATATAATTATAAATTCCATCCTATTTAATATTATATATTAATACTTTAAGAGTGGTAATATAGATTGCTAAAAGCTAAAGATTTTTCAACTAGAGAACGCCTACCTTTCTTTATAGTGTGTTCCGTACTGAATTGAAATCATCTAACTTACGATAGACTCAACTACTCTTATACTCTACTACATTTACAACACATATCAAACTTCGATACCTAAACATAACTAACTCGAAGCTCTAGAACTACGACACCAACTCGTTTAACTACACCAAGCTCTACAAACGGTACTCCCAAATCAACAACGATTTCACTGGACCTACTACTACACTTTAGCAGTCAATATAATTCGATACCTTAATACCACAAGAATCAATACTCCCGAACTCCAGAACTACGATACTTCATAACCTGCATCCTCATTTCTCTATTAGCTTTCAAATTCCAATAGACCTTCAACTACAAAACAGCCGAATAAAAAGTATGACACATTAACACTTCGATACTTTTTATACCTACGAAACCATATCAGCAACAGCCTTCCGCCGTTACTCCCAAATCTAACCGATTCATCAAAACTTACCAAACATGTACAATGCTTTGAACACCCTGTCATTACAAAACTCTGTACACCAGGACAGATTTCTAATTCAAAGTCAGAGAAAGCGAGACTTACAAGCCCTATTAAAATTAGAAAACCGTTTGAAATGTTCGAAATTTAAATAACGAACTTATTTAATCATTTTCTACATCAATTATGTGACACCAAATTAAAAAGGCAAAGTGACTGATAAAAAGCGCCCCGACCTTTCCAAATTAGGGAGGTGGGGTTGCATCGCGAATAAATAAAGGCCTATATATACCTAATTTTGGGGTTGGGGTGCAAAATTGATATAACGTCCTGGGTGCCGAAATAGATCGCTATTCCTTTATAAAAGTTATTAATTATTAGTATACCTTTTGATAATAGCGATTAAATATTTTGCACCCCCCTAGGGATGGCGCACTAAGCGACAACCTAGTTCGCCTTATAGGTAGCGCCGGCCCTTCAACTTATAGGCTTTTGAAAAACCAAAAGAAAAGTTCATCTTCCGGTTACAGGAAATCGCTGAAAAGTTGATACAGAGCTACACATTTGATAAATACTTCGATCTATATATTAATTTTCATAAACCTAGCTAACTGTACTTAAGTTCACAGACACACAGACACACAAACAAACGCGGACAAAATTGCAAACCTATGTTTTTCCTACTCAGGGAGGTGTAAAACGTCGAAATTTTTGAAAATCTCGATTTAGATTTTTTTGCACGATTACAATACTTCCTCTATACTTTGTATACGAAACAGTAAAAAGGACTGTAAAATTAACCACAGAAAGGTAAAGTATAGACCTTTTGATTACACATGTGAGAAAACCAAAATCGTAAGACAAACTACTACACCAATTACAAAAACCGAGTGGATTTTTTTGTAATCATTACCTGGTGATATTCAACACAAGTAACGCGTCAAGCATTAAACTTACACTGACATATGTGGCATTTAAACTGCCCAGACTTGATTGACATTCAACTGGCCCTGACCTTTGCGTTATTCAGACAACCCTGACATGCGTGGCATTAAGCTTGCAATGACAATTGTGACATTTGTCCTGCAATGAAATATGTGGCATTTAGCCTGCCATGACAATTGTGACATTTGTCCTGCGATGACATATGTGGCATTTAGCCTGCCATGATATTTGTAGCATTTAGCATGCAGAAAAATTGTTGCCATTTGGCCTGACATGGCATTTGGTGCACATACTTTGCACTTACATTTGTGACATTCAGCCACATTAGCCCAAAAATGTGCATAGTTATGGTCGTAAAAAAAAACACCACATTTAGACACTTATACAACTTTTTTTTGCCCTTAAGTGCCGTCTGGTAATTATTATGCAATTAAGTAAACGTTTTGCTTTTTGTTTTTTGGGGCAATGTCTGTTTTATATTTATAGGCGTCAGTGGCGTAGGCAGTGGGGGGGGGGGGGGGGGGTTAGTGGGGGTTCATAACCCCCCCCCCCCCCCATAGACCCCTCGGTATATATATATATATATAAAGTATGAGGGGGGGGTGCAAATCGAAAGTTTGAGGGGGTGGGGGTGCACATCGAAAGGTTGTCCCCGGGTAAAAATTGGAACCCCCCTTGAGACGATCCTGGCTACGCCACTGATAGGCGTACCTTGCAAAGCGCAATGTGGTACAAATACATACACATTCAAACAGAAGTCCGCAAATGCAGAACTCTTTTAACTCAATAAACTCTCCTTTATCTGCAATATTCGTTAAAATGTCTTATATATAATTATTTTTTAAATGAGCTTTAATCTCAGATGTAAGTTTAACGGTTCCTATATTATGGGTAAAAGTTTAACTCTCATGTATTAGTAAAAATTAACTTTCATGCTAAAGAAAATCTGCTAATCTGTTTTGTCCATTACCATTTATTAGTCAAATCATAATTCCATTTAAAATAAAAATCAGCAAAAACAACAACAAAATACTACAACTACTATTTAATTTAATAACGAGATACAGTACTATTGAAATATATGTCTAATAATGTTCAGACCATTGTTGTCTTTTTCCTAATGAATAGGAAACTCCGCCCACGGTAAACTATACTAACACAAGCGACGCTTACGTATGTGTAAAATAAGTAGGTCGCATGCTAGCCTTTAGCGAGGCCTGTCCGCTCATACACAACCACTGTGAGCGTTAGTGAGCTAAATAATTTTCTCGATAGCGCTGGTGAGTAACCCATTCTCAAATCAAATTAACGTTTTATTAGGCAGACTTCTGTACAGTTTCTCAGTAGTGAATACTACACATTTATTGTATAGCGCGTTTTTTTGTTTCGAAGAAGTGGTTACGTTTATTTTCACACTACTAAATGTTATGCACAATATTGCAAGTACACAGACACACATATATATATATATATATATATATATATATATATATATATATATATATATATATATATATATATATATATATATATATATATTTATATATATTTATATATATATACATTTATATATATATATATATATATATATATTTATATATATTTATATATATATATACATTTATATAGAGGCCTATAATGTATAATACTTATAATTACATACAATATTACTGTGTTCTTTTTTTTTTCGTTTCTTTTAGATTATTTCAACAAAAATGGAAGAACATAACGCCAATGACAGTTCTCATAGTGACTTTGATGATGATTCTGACTATTTTTTAAGTATTGGTCTTGTTATTGCCTCGCAGCAGATTCTCATCAAAGACTCTATTATCACTTGCCTAGTACTTGGGAACCTTGTCAATATTTTTCTTTTAGTCGCCATCATGACGTCGCAAGGATTACGTCAAAGACTGAGAAACCAAATAATAGCGACCATGTGTGTTTGCTTTATAGTGGAGATCATTATAGAAAGCAGCGTGGGCTTACTAAAAGATGGGAAAATTCTGGATAAACTTCAATTTTGTCGTTTCATGGACTCCTTCCTTTACGTCCATGCATTTTTGGATTTTATCTCAACATGGTATATTGTAACGCTGTTGATAGTTTACATAGCGCAACTCAAAGATTTTGACCCGAGAAAATATTTAACCCTGAAGTTTTTAAAATTCGGCCATGTTGCTGTACTGATGGCTCCTCTCTTGTTAGCAGTGATTATACTAACCCCTATTATAAAAATATCCACTGACAAGTATATGAGTGAAATATGCAAAGAGTTAGATGCTACGGATAGGAAGTACATCATCGTCATAACCACAATAGCACCAATCATCCTCGCAATCCTGCTTTTATTTTCTGCTTTGGTATTTTATTGTCAAAGATTTAGACAAGGTTCCCGTTTGCCTTCTGATGGGCTGGTACTTTTGAGTCGTGGAACCAGCGTAGACAAGCCTGTGGCTTATATACTAGCAGTGTCTGTGAGTGTAGTCTGCTTTGTTGCAAACATTATCTATATCATGTACTTCGATGGGACTCTTCCTCTTCTGACTATGTGAGTATAATTTTAATTATGAAATTATGTTACCTCCAATCTTACTTTCATACAACAATATCTATCTATATTAGTGTATTGTCGGGGTAGTGGGGGTAAATATTTTGTTACGATAGATCTTTCGAAGTAGAATTGTCAAGAATTTATGTTGAAGCTTGTAGAAATATGTGAAAAAAAATAAAACTATTGAAGGAATGTATTTTGTTTTAAAATGCTATTTTTAAAGTCGACACCTAGGCCTACTAAGAGAATGAAGTTCTTAGATCCAGCAACAAATGTAGAGGAAATTTGCACCGTGCTCAAATCCGATCTCTATATTTACTGTTATTTCTAGAAAAACATATTTTTAACGGGTGTGTTATTTTTATAACTTTCTGGAGGGGTTTTAATATATTGCTATTTTCTAACACATAGTTTCAAGCATTGCGTAGTAGAATCGATAGTGTGGCGGCTATCAATAATTGTTTTTAGGTTCAAAACCAGTCTAAATTGTGTTGCGTTTATTTGTATTAGTGCAAAGGCATTTTAATATAATATTTTTAAACGCTTTTAATTTTATTTTGGATAAGGCTTTAAGGATTAGGGTTAGGCTTAGTTGTTAGGATTAGGGTTAGGCTTAGGTGTTTTACTAAGGGGTTAGGATAAGGGTTATGTTTAGGGATCTGACTTAGGGGTTAGGATTAAGGCTATGGTTATGCTTAGGGATTAGGCCTAGGGGTTAATTAACACGGCTTAGACTTAGAGGTTAGGGTTAGGTCTTGTTCAAGAAAATAATATTAATGATGGTTTTCAGAATATAAATAATAATTTTTTACCCGAATTAATGAAATGTGTATCGTTTTGACATACATTATATGTAAAAGTGTTTTTGCTTTTACTCAGACAATTTCGGCATACTGTAGATACAATATGCGAGCTCTTATATACTCTCACATCCTGTTAAAAAAATAATCACTGAGTTTATTTACTCTCAAGTGGAAGAGGATAAATATTTCCTAAACCGGATATGAGATAATCTAAGCACGTTGCGTATTTTATCTACAGTTCGCCGAAATAAGCATTTCACAAACATAAACCCCACAATATTTCTAAAATTAGACTTTTGACCTAGTTATGTATTTATTTTTAGGTTGAGGCTTCACATCGCTGATGATATTCTTCAAGATATTTTCGTATACTTACTTCCCTTGTCGTGGCTGTGTTTTGACGACGTGAGAGAGAGAATAAAAACATGGCGTCCGTGGCGTCGTACAAGACAGAACGTTGACATTACAGTCAGCTACAACAAGGAGGAGAATATTTGATGAGTCTCCAACTGCTTGAAACAATACTGTTGATGCAAGAGTCAATTGTATAATGACATTTAGTTAAGGAGCACGATCCTCTTTGAATTGTATAATATTGACATAGGTCATGTTATCTACGGAGTATATAGTTTAGCACATTGTACACTCATCATAGAAATTATAATATTCATTGCTTTTTATCTTGATACTTTACAAATAAAAAAACTTTATTATTATTATAATTAATAGTAATACAATATGTTGTTTTTTTTTTTTTTTTGTGTTTTTAATTTAGCTATAACACAACATCATACTGTTGAACAAGTTAAAAGAAAGTTTCAAAGCCTTGTAATTCCTAGCAGATGAAGTAGAGTTCACCTCTTTCTGTGATTTAGGCATGTTAAATATAAAATGTAGTCTTCAACACTATTCCCAGCCACCTTTATATTCCCTAACCAGAGTCAGGTACCCATTAAGGCTAGTATGACTCAGAGTAGTCAACCCAACTTGAGCCCACGATAGGAACCCACTGTCTACATGTTAGCTATCGTGAGTCAAGCCGATTACAGAACTAGAATGTTAAAATTCATTGTAAATAGTAGATTAGTATGAATGTCGAATTTTGTTATAAAACTATATTCAATATATCTTCAGTATATTCGCACAGATATCAATAATATATATATATATATATATATATATATATATATATATATATATATATATATATATATATACAATAAATGTATCAGCTAATATATATTTAACCAAAAGTAATCCTCATTCACATTGATGTAATATGCTTTGTATTGGCACTAAATATATGCATGGTTTTCCTAAATCTATTAAACTCAATAAATTTTTAAAAATGTATTCAGTGTGAATATTTAAACTATATTGACCTATCATACGACGGCCAACTGACTGGACTGACGAAACGTCTCGAGTTCGGATCCCGTGGTTTAGTCGGTAAAACGTCCCTGAGTGCACTCATCTCCGATGCCTTACGTCAGGTGAAAGTAACGGCGGCTGGGCATAGCGCTGCCCACGTCATCCCTTCATATATCCAGGTTTTTGGGAGAGATGAACTCTACTTCACCTGCCACGTAAAGTGATAATGGTGGGATGTAAGTGTGTACACATTATCCACATGTATCGTGCGCGGTGTCGGTTTAAGTTACAATTGTGCACCGTCACTTGGTTTGAAGCTTACCTTATGTACCATCTACAGAAGTACATTGTAACAATCTTATCTGCAAATACACACATTCTGCTTTTTGTAAAGTATACGGATGTTTATTACAGATTGTTGTTGTATGTGTGTGCTTGTGGGGGGGGGGGGGGGGTTATACTGATACATTTTGTGAGAGTTTTCGATTTTTGGCTACAATGGATTACTCTGTGGACCTGAGGTTAAAAACCTTTATTAGTGAATGAACCTAATTAACAATATGGTCAAGTGCACAATTCACATTGTTAAATAGGCAGTTGTTTTTTAACCGACCACTACAGCAGTAAAAACAAAACTTTTAACCCATATGGACTCACACTGTTAAATAGGCAGTTTTTTTTACAAACACCCACTACAGTAATAAAAATAAAACATCCCATTTTGACAAAATGTGAGTATGATTTTAGTTCAGATGAACTTGACTCCACATGCATAGTTCATCAACATCGTCTTTTGCCGTTCGTGTTCAAGACGTACGGGTAGATGAAGTAGAGTTCATCTGTTTCAATAACCTATTCAATGGGATACTGTGGCCTATGTTTATGTTCAGCCGTGTTTATTTTACCCCATCGTGAGTCAGGTACCCATCAGAGCCGGGTGAACCCAGCGACGTCCAGCAGAATCGAGCCTGGGATCTGAACTCGAGACTCGTGTTAGCAGTCCAGCGCTCTACTGATCGGCCATGCCGTCCCCAACATGACTCTAGATACATCACCATTACATAATTAGTCGTCGAGCATGTCGCTGAGTGGGGGGGGGGGATTTACTATTGAATAATAATAAAATGTTAAGTCAACAATTGTTATATAAGATATGGCTTATTTTTAGCTCTTCTCTGGTTCTCAAAAGGCAAAATATACGCAAAACAACAAAGAGACAAACAAATGCGGTCAATTCTCTATTCTCAGTTAGCCTCACTTGTGATGTAAACAAAGCACTTGATTGGTCTAGAGTCTAGACAGAAGTGGAACTTGTTCTACTTGAACCGGAGCTGGCACTTGATGTTAGATTACAGTAGGAACAGTACTGTACATTGTACTGTTTCCTGTGTTAAGTGTATACACACGACATTATTTAAAAAAAATATTATGCAGTTAAAAATGTGCCCAACTTAAGTGGTTTTACATTGCATTTGTCCACTTCTTTGCGTTGACTAAATTTTTAAAAAATTAATACTGTAAGTAAGTTTAAAACCTTTTTTTTTAAAATCACAAATAATAATTATCAGAGTACACATTATAAGATCTGCGGTCTTTATAAAGTATCACACTGCTCTGTATTCTTATGATAAACATAAGCGCACAAAGACAAATACAAAAAAATGGGGATTGATGGGAAAGCTTGGCTAAAAATTTGTCGCATTCGGACAAGTGTCCATTCGGGCATTTGTCGCATTCGGGCAAGTGTCCATTCCGGCATTTGTCGCATTCGGGCAAGTGTCCATTCGGGCATTTGTCGCATTCGGGCAAGTGTCCATTCGGGAAATCGGCCTTCGGGCAAACGGCAATCGGGCAAGTGTCTTTCGGGAAAACGTCCGGCTCCCATATATATATATATATATATATATATATATATATATATATATATATATATATATATATATATATATATATATATATATATATATGTATATATATATATATATATGTATATATGTATATATATATATATATATATATATATATATATATATATATATATATATATATATATATATATATATATATATATATATATATGTGTGTTGCGTGTGTGTGTGCGTATTTACATTGTGGTGGTTGGGATAAGACCCTATTCTACAGCACTGAATAATGCCTTGCTTAGTAACGACAATGGATTTTACAATGGCCTATGTATTATAGATTGAAAGTGGTTACACTCACAAACATGCAAATAACAACACACAGTTTTAGATAAACACACTTAACTCTGTAGTGAACTTATAAACAGATATTTAAAAAAAACCCACTAAATTCTGCATTGGGGATGCAGACACATAACAAATTAACGATGTGGGTCAAACGCATTAGGTCAAGAAATTTTTTAACTTTATAACTAATTATAAAAATTATCTAAAAGTTGGAACTTATTTCGTTTAAGCAATTGCAAACAAAACACTTAGTCATGTAGTGAAAGGGGAACGTACTCAAATGTCTACTGGAACCGCCCCCTTTTTTTTGGTCATCATTGGTTGAGTTGTCGTTCGTTTGACCTAGTAGAGTCGAGTGCCTGGCACAGACTGATATGATTTTAAAATTGGGTTCACCTGTTTTTGACATGTACATATGAATAAATTGTAAGACCAGCATTATTACCAGCCGCCTTTAATTACTTAAGTGAAAAAAAATTCAATGCTGAGTGCACTTAGGGTTGTCTACTAGCTAAAGCCTGGAGTCCGAACACGACCTGAAATTGAAACAACTTTTTAAAACGTGCTGGTAAATACATTGTTTTATATGCTACAATAAAGTGGATAGTTTTCATATGATCTAGTATATTATAGGAGCTATGTATAGGTATTAGAAAAATATATACTGCATGCGACTTTAAGCCACTAATATGAGTTTCATAATAATGCAAAAATGTATTTAAAAGGTACATGAGTATATATATATATATATATATATATATATATATATATATATATATATATATATATATATATATATATATATATATATATATATATATATATATATATATATATATATATATATATATACATATATATATATATATATATATATATATATATATATATATATATATATATATATATATATACATTTATATATATATATATATATATATATATATATATATATATATATATATATATATATATATATATATAAATGTGTATATATAACAAAGTATTTTTGCGCCACGTCTAGATAACTTGAACAAGAATGGAGGATTATAGCGAATATAACAACAGCTACGACGAAGAGAACGTTTCTTACAGTGATCATATAGATGATGACTACAGTCCCACCAATGACGAAAACGATACGTATTATGATACCTCCTACTCCACGAATGATTCCTATTACGACGGCCTTGTTGAGGATGAGATTATGCACACTTTTGTGAAGATTGCCGCATTGAAAGATACTATTTTCATCATTTCTATAATAACCTGTCTAGTGATCGGGACTTTCGCCAATATTTTTCTTTTAGTTTCTATCTTGTCATCGCCATGTTTACGACAAAGACTGAGGAACCAAATTATAGTAGTTATGTGTGTTTGTTTTATGGTAGAGATTTTACTAGAATGCTCTTTGGGTTTGATGGGGTTTAGCACACATATAAATTATTGTGTGCTGGTAGAATTGTTCAATTACCTGCATAATATGTTGGATTTTATATCAACATGGTATGTTGTTTTGTATGTTGTTTTGATTTTAGCTGTCTACATAGCCCAACTCAAGACTTTCGACCCCAATACAAATTTAATCTCGTCCTTTGGTAAATTTGGAACTGCAGTTTTATTGCTGCTTCCTATTCTAATGGCTGTTACTATACTTACACCCATCATAAAAACTTCAACTGAGCAGTCTAACGGTACCTTCTGCACGCTGATAGACATAAAAGATTTTAAAAGCATAAGCACCATAGATATCATAGTTCCTTTACTCATTGCCTTCCTATTGTTATTTATATCCCTGCTCTTATACTTCCATCGATTCAGCAAAGTCAGTTTAAATCAGTCAGATAGTCTAGAAAGACCAGAATCGGCAGTGGACAGTCCTGTACCTTACATACTAGCTGTGTCTGTATGTCTAGTCTGCAACTTGCCAAACATAATTTATGTTTTGAACAAAGATGAAAATATGACTGCTCTGTTTCTGTAAGTATACCTTAAAAACAATAAATTAATCAATTATTTTAATTGAATTTTCAAGACCTGAAATTGAAGGGCTCAGTGGAAAAAGTACTTAAGTGTATTTTGAGAGTTTTGAGAAAAATGAGTGAAAAGTTTTAAAATTGAAGCTAAAATACCAAAACAGCTGATGTATAGTATTCGAATTATGCTACTTCGGTACTTTTTCCATGGCCCAAATTTACAGGGATGGTTGAGGGGAGGTAATCAAAAAATATACCGGTCTTAACTCATTTTTGAAAATATGTAACTTTTTCCACTGAGCCCTTCAATTATTCCCCCCCCCCCCATCTATTGATCGTTGTGCTGTGCATGTGGTGCCAACAATTATTTGATTACATCACACGTTATAGAAACAATCTTTTCTTGAGTATCTTAAAACGTATATCGAGATTTCTGTTTTGCCGTAGTGAAAAACTTACTTAAGGGTTATAATAGTATTTATAATATGGATAAAACCAAAAAGATACACTTTTATAACAATGTAGAAATGATTTTTTTTTCAGGTTAAGAATTTACATGTCAGATGAAGTTCTACAAGACGTGTTAACATACTTACTTTCCATGTCGTGGCTGTGGTTTAAAGACGTCAGAGATAGAATTAAAGGTTGTTGTTCTTGTCGTCATACGAGACAGAATGTCAACATACCAGTTGCCACAGCAACCATGGGACTTTGATTATACCTCACATTTGTAGTTGGGAAAACAATGATGACTGATGCATTAAAAATATGAAAATACAATTTACCTGTGATTTTTATGAACGAGTTATCGTTACATTAAATATACATACCAGTAATTAACAGAAGATATACAAAAATTACAAAATTAATTATATTTTAATTATTAGCCATATTATATTAAAAATTAAATAAAAACATAATATTACCCTTGAGAATTATTTATTTTAAGATATTAAACTTTTTTGCTTAACTTGATTCTTTGTACTTTTTGTCATGGTCTCAAACTTAAAGTTGTGCATACAATTTCATCTACATTTACCAAATTATTCGCGGTGTAAGTATCTTGAACCAAGAGAGTTCACAGATGACAGCTTGTTTTCTTTAGAAACGCTTTGATGCTAAAATATATTAAAGATCTAAAAAGCATGGTGTCACCCCCCTAAACGGTGTCACCCTGTGCGGTCCCCAACCCCGCCTCGTCCTCGATACGCCTCTGGATGTATTCCACAATGACCTGCTGTGACCTGACTAGGCGCTAAATGAGAGAACACTTTACTGGGTCAAGTTGACCTGACCTCAATTCAGCTTGCTCTAGTTTAATGATGAAAAGTTTCTTTTTGGACGGAGTAACAAACCACCGTTCTGCAATTATTATTTTTTTCATGTATATTCCCATGTACTTTATAATTAACACCGTATACATAATGTAATTACAATATTTTATTACGTGATTTTATTTTGCATAAAATAGTTTTCAAGGAATCTTAGTTTATAGTAGAACAATCCTAATGTTTGCCATTTACAATGTTAACGAATATAGAGCTTAAGTGTGCAGTGACTGATTTAATTTGACATTGCGATGAAACCACAACACTTCTTCAATGCGAGTAGTGCAGTGCAGGTTTAATGTTACAAATGCATGGACGTTTTTTTGCAAGACACTTGCCCAAATGCCGCTTGCCCCAAGGCCGATTTCCCGAATGGACACTCGCCCGAATGCGACAAACGCCCGAATGGGCACTTGCAAAAGTGTCTTTCGGGAATTTGTTATAGATCCAAATACATGTAGCCGAATACACTTTCATGAACAAGTACTCGGACTTAAAACACGTTCACGAATACGATTATCATATACACATGAAAACATGAACACATTCACATACACAGACACCTAATCTCATTTAAACACGTAGGCTACTTAAACAGATACACACAATCGCACATTCAAATCCATCTGCAATAGCTTACAAATCGCACATAAACATTTACTTTCACTAGAAAACAATACATACATATATATATATATACCCAATACATCTAGATTGTGAGGCAGATCGTCAATTAAATATATGTATATATAATCAACACACACATCCATACATACATACATACATACACATATATATATATATATATATATATATATATATATATATATATATATATATATATATATATATATATATATATATATATATAATATATAAAGCTCAGTTCTGTATGTAATGCATTTGTATGTCGTTGGAATTGTACGAATTTAAGTGTTAGAAAATTATCGTGCGCATTTGTCTAAATTTATGAGCTAAAAAATTACTATTGAAAGTGTTGAGAAATAATTTTCATTTTTCAAATTATAGTAATAATTGTCGGCATGTTCATTAAACACAAGTTTTAAAAAAAATATCATCTTTTACAAAAATTCTAATTATGTCTTTATTTAGTCCTATAGCACTTACTTCCCTTTGATAAATTAGGAAAAACACAATTACTTCCCTTTATAAAACCATTGCATTCCGTGAAAATAATTTACTTTTTAATTACTTTGTTTTGGTGTTGGGAAAAAAAATAATTACATAATTAGCGGGGATTGATCAAGTGCAAATGTTGTAGGTATTTTACGGATAAGCTTGGAGTATTAAAATTGTTTATTAAATTGAAACAGGCGCGTTCGTTTAAGTGAGTGCAAAAGACTGTGAATAAGTTGGGGTACTATAGTCGTTCATTAAGCTAAAACAGGTGATTCCCCCCCGGGCGTTTATGTTCGCGTTAGTGTTTTCTTTGTGTTTAAGTGGGTTTGCGTTAGTGGTTGCGTTTTAATTTGGTTCGTTTTTGTTCTTTCTTTTTTCGTTTTTGTTTGTGTTTTTTTTGTTTGGGTTTGTATTTGTGTTTTTGGTTGGTTTTGCGTTTGGATTTGGTTTGTTTTCGTTTGCTTTTTTCGTTGATTTTTTTTTGTTGGTATTGGTGTTTGTGGTTGGGTTTGTTGTTAGGTTTTTGTTTTCGTTTGCTTTTTTGTTTGTTTTTTCTTTGTGTTTGTATTGGTGTTTGTGGTTGTGGTTGGGTTTGTTGTTAGGTTTTTGTTTTCGTTTGTATTTGTAATTGTGTTAGCGTTATGTTTGCGTTTTGTTGTTTTGGTTTTGGTTGGTTGTGGTTTGGGTGTGCAATGCCGGGTTTATGATGATTACTAAACACACAGGTAATGGTCTTTAACAGAAAGGTTTTTCACAGAAGCCAGAGCAGGGCCTGGCCGGGACGGCTAGTATATCTAATATATAAAGCTCAGTTCTGTATGTAATGCATTTGTATGTCGTTGGAATTGTACGAATTTAAGTATTAGAAAATTAGCGTGCGCATTTGTCTAAATTTATGAGCTAAAAAATTACCATTGAAAGTGTTGGGAAATCATTTTCATGTTTCAAATTATAGTAATAATTGTCGGCATGTTCATTAAACACAAGTTTTAAAAAAAATATCATCTTTTACAAAAATTCTAATTATGTCTTTATTTAGTCCTATAGCACTTACTTCCCTTTGATAAATTAGGAAAAACACAATTACTTCCCTTTATAAAACCATTGCATTCCGTGAAAATAATTTACTTTTTAATTACTTTGTTTTGGTGTTGGGAAAAAAAATAATTACATAATTAGCGGGGATTGATCAAGTGCAAATGTTGTAGGTATTTTACGGATAAGCTTGGAGTATTAAAATTGTTCATTAAATTGAAACAGGCGCGTTCGTTTAAGTGAGTGCAAAAGACTATGAATAAGTTGGGGTACTATAGTCGTTCATTAAGCTAAAACAGGTGATTCCGCCCCGGGCGTTTATGTTCGCGTTAGTGTTTTCTTTGTGTTTGGGTGGGTTTGCGTTAATGGTTGCGTTTTGATTTGGTTCGTTTTTGTTCTTTCTTTTTTCGTTTTTGTTTGTATTTTTTTTGTTTGGGTTTGTATTTGTGTTTTTGGTTGGTTTTGCGTTTGGATTTGGTTTGTTTTCGTTTGCTTTTTCGTTGGTTTTTTTTGTTGGTATTGGTTGGTATTGGTGTTTGTGTTTTTGGTTGGTTTTGCGTTTGGATTTGGTTTGTTTTCGTTTGCTTTTTCGTTGTTTTTTTTTGTGTTGTTATTGGTTGGTATTGGTGTTTGTGGTTGTGGTTGGGTTTGTTGTTAGGTTTTTGTTTTCGTTTGTATTTGTAATTGTGTTAGCGTTATGTTTGCGTTTTGTTGTTTTGGTTTTGGTTGGTTATGGTTTGGGTGGGCAATGCCGGGTTTATGATGATTACTAAACACACAGGTGATGGTCTTTAACAGAAAGGTTTTTCACAGAAGCCAGAGCAGGGCCTGGCTGGGACGGCTAGTATACTATATAGAAAGAAAGAAATTCGACACAAAGGTGCTTCTCTGTCGTGTGTTTTTTTGTCTGTTTATGTGTCAAAACAAACTGCACTAAGATATGGCGTGTTTACACAATCACTTATAATTACAGCCGCTTTTTTTTTTAAATTGGCCTAAAGCCATACAAGTTAAGATATTATCTAGCGAAAAGTTTTACAGTTATAAGCTCTAAAACGGCAACTTGCAAACCAGATGAACAGTTTTAATATACTTTTACCTTTCCATCAAAATTAAAATAACTACAATAGTTTACTTTCTAATGCAGTTTTTAGCAATTAACATTGAGTAGGATTATTCTCGTTAAGACTGTTTTGGGATTTTCTTGAAATAAAAATGAACATTGTTGTAAGCAGATTCTTTTAATTACAAAAATACATAAAAAGTAGTGAATTTTTTTTAAATTTAGACGGCTGATTAAATTGAGAGTTTAAGAATTTTTTGTAATGGTAAACATAAAAGCAAAAATGAGTATTGATTAAAATAGTTTTCATTTACAAAATATCACAGATCATTCTTTTTTTAACAATATCAAAGGAGGTTAAATAATTGTGTACGAAAAAAAATCAAATGGAAAAACTACAAAGAAATCAAAAATATTGGTTTCAAAAAGTTGAAAATATGCGTCTTTAATGGACAAATAATATAATAACTAGGTTTAGTCTTCACTATCGTGTACGTATTTTCTGATTACAGTCTTTGTTTTACTAGAGATCTAGCAATGTGTGTGATATTAAAAAATAATAAGTAGATTTTTACATGCGAATGATGCGAGACTCTACCACTGAGAGGAAACATTTTTTTTTACTTCGCGTGGAGATGATTATTCCCATTAGTGCTTAAGAGACATTTCGCTAATGAAATATAGTTATCAACCACTTTATAATTTATTTTTAATTTTAATATACGATTCTGCTAAGTGAATCAGTAATTCCGAGTTAAATTGCATATTCGAATGTCTGACCTGTGTTTTTTCATTTGTGACCTAACAAACTTGAATACTAAATAAAGATTTGCTAGTAAAAATATCCAAGCATGCATTTATAAAACATGATCATAGCGACTACACATTTTAGAACCCATGGCGCAATCTTGCGTAATGGGCCAAGAAAATAACAGGTCGTATTTGGGGGCGGTGGCTGTTGGACGATAGCATTAGCTGGCACGAACAGATTAGAGATTGTCTCGATCTATAGTTGGACTGATACACAATTTCGTCCTCATTGCTCACCAGTTTTACATAATACTACAAGAAACGTTGGAGCCAGTTGATGGTGAACATAGTAGGAAAGTAAGCATATTCGTCTTTAATTTATGTAAACTTTTTAAACATAGTATATATATATATATATATATATATATATATATATATATATATATATATATATATATATATATATATATATATATATATATGTTTCCATGCATAAGGTATATATTATTAATTGAGATGTCGCTTATAATTTAAATAATAATAATCGTTATTTCTTTAGAAACGGATAATTAAGCTTCAATCTCACCTGTTAAAACACGCCTACAAACCCGTTACGCATTCTAAAACAACGCTTATAACCCCCGCTTAGCATACTAAAACCATCCCTCACAACATTCCTCATCATTCTAAAAGTACCTTCAGGATCCTTATTCCCATGGCTAAAACCACCCTCAATCACAATCTACGCCACCCACCTGAACCTCGTATACCTCCCTAAATGAAATCACCCCCCCCCCCCCCATCATTTTTTGAGATAAAAACTTTTGCCAACGACATTCGCCACTGGCCCTCGCGTATTATCTTACGTGTAAAAGTTTCCATCAATACAAATGTGTATTATCAACATTGAATCTCTACAGTAGAAGCACACAAGTATGTAGGAGAATTCTCTACAAAGCCTTCTAAAATTCCAAGTCTCGTTATTTAAAATGTAATACTGAATTACTATTTCAGTAACTAAAAATAAAAGCTTGGGCTGCTTTAATAGTGTGTGCTGAATACCTTGACTAGAACGCAAAAACGACCCAGTCATTTAAATAGTAGTTCATTATTATATTTTTAGTAAATCATTTATTTTCTCCATTTTAGTGCATCGTTACATAAAAACTTGTTATTAAAACGTTTGTATGCATATCTTTTCAGTAGGGTAAACTATGTAATACAATAGAGTATTATAACTAAATTCAATGTTGCGCCAAGTGAATATGAAAAATGCGCGTATAATAGCGCGGTAAATAGTAATTTATATAGATCTTAATTAATGAGTATAAAATTAACTAGGCATCCGATAAACCAAATTTGATGTCAGATTGGATTGTCATTTGTTCTTGGCCCGCGTGCCAAATTCGAAACGAATGATCAGTTAGAAGTGATCAAAATTTCGATAGGCAGTTTTGATCTATAATAACAGATAAAAGGACAGACAGAGGAAGTTAGTTAAATAAAAGCATGCAATGAAAGATTTTAAAGCTGAATAGTTTTGTGCAGAACATTTATAATTTTGACCAACACATTAATTCGAATACACATGCACATCGTGTGATACCAAACAAACACCCCTTTACGTTAGTAGCTCTATGTGCTACTTTAAATACAAACACAATACCATACAATATCAAGCAAGCACCAATGAAGTCATTAATTGTATCATCAAAAAGTACATTAACTTTATTTATTTTTAAACATTGTAAATAAAAAAGTTCGTTGTCTTAGCTCAGCTTGTTTTGTTTTTTTTTTTATGACAAAAGTATCTACAGGTGTATTAATATACATTATGGGTTACTTAAAAACAAAGTTTACGTTAGTAGGCTAATATTAAACCATTGAAAACTTTTTTTCCAGATACAAATTGTGAAACAATGACAGAATCCAACTTTTCATTAACCTCAGAAAACTATACATATGACCACACAGAAATCGGACAAGCGATTGATTTCGCCCATCGAGTGATTCTTGGCTTTAACATATCATGTCTGGTTCTGGGGATTCCCGTGAACATTTTTATTCTAACAGCCATTTTGACGTCTCCAAGTTTACGACTGAAGCTCAGAAACCAAATTATAGCGATCATGTGTGTTTGCTTTCTGGTGGAAGTCGTAGTCGAAAGCAGTTATGTTACATATATTATTAATAGGTTGGATGAAATAATGATGAACTGTGATTTGAAAATTTTTAGCTTTAATATTCATGTGTTAGCTGATTTTATAATCACATGGTACGTTGTTGCACTGTTGATTATTTATAACGCAAAGCTAAACGATTTTGATCCCAAAAGATTGGTAAATGAGAAAACTCTTAAGATAGGAACTGGTGTTGTTTTGTCGCTTCCATTAGTATTAGCAGTCATTACAATACCACCGACAATTCATACATTGATGAAACAAAATCCGATAAGCAATTATCGTTGCCTTCTTTTAACTATCGAAGATTATCAAAATTTGCTTGTAGCCTCCACAATAACCCCTCTCCTATCTGCAATTGTGCTGTTAGTTGTTGCAATTGTGGCCTATCGACGACGATTTAGACTAGGAATTTTTGGTCAGCCTGCCGGTGTGGAACTAATGGACGGTGGCACCGTAGTGGACAAGCCTGTGGCTTACATTGTAGCAGTGTCTCTGTGTGTGGTATGCTACTCTCTACACGTCATTTTAAATTTTAAAGACTTAGCGAGATCATTCGTCGAAAGGTATGTATGTTTGTTTAGTAATGTATGTTTAAAACATTATATTAGCAATATATATATATATATATATATATATATATATATATATATATATATATATATATATATATATATATATGGTACCCATGTTAAACACAGACACACTTCCAGGACCGAACTATTCCACGTATTCTAACCTGTCAGTGATTTCCTAATGACTTATATGTAGCTGGACATTAAGAATGGACATAGCATCAACGTCCCTAGGAGGTCGGTGTGGTCGGATCGGTTAAGCTCATGGTTGCTGGACCGTAACGACCCGAGTTCGAACCTCTGGGCAAATTGCTGGGGCCAGTATTTCATCAAGGAGAGACAACTCCAAATTCAAACCATTGCTTCCTTGTAGTTTGTTCTTGGTTGGACAAAGGCTATGGTATCAAATCCCCCAAGACAAAAAAGCTCGCCAAAATCAGAGTCAATGACCTATATGATGTATAACAAGTTAACACGTGGTGACGTCTGTATGGCCAGTGGGATACACCTTTTTAGCCTTTGATGTCAGTAAAGAAAGAAAGAAAAACGAAACTTACTGCTCTACTGATATTTCTATCCATTGTGCGAATCCGAATAACCGTACCAGATAGTTCACATGCTTCCGCTTGCTGTGAGAGTCCTACAGTTATGGCCGTCCTAATAATGTCAGTGGCAAATGTTAATTAAGTCTAGTCAAATACCGTGTGACGGCGTGGTCGAGTCGGTAAAGCTTCTGGTTGCTAAACTGAAAAGTCTCGAGTTCGAACCCTCGGGCAGATGAGGCTCGTTAGCTGGGGACAGCCACTATTCTAGGAGAGACAACTCCAAAATCAAACAACTCCTGCCTTGTAGTTTGTTCTGGGTTGGGCAAAGGCTATGGAAGCAAATCCAAAAAGAAAAGCAGGCTAAAATCGAAGTCAATGGCCTCAATGGCGCAGAACCAGTTGTCACGTATCCTTAATTGTGATGGAGACGTGGTCGAGTCGGCTAAAGCTAATGGTTTAAACTCAAAAAAGTCTTGAGTTTAAACCCTCTGCCAGATATGGCTCGATCCCCTCCAACACTAAAAACAAATTAGAACGAAGAAGAAGAAGAAATATCGTGATGATATACCTGATGTAGCTAACAAAATCTGTTATTTGACTTTTTTTTAATGTTCATCTTCAAATTATCTTTTCTATACTTTATCACTCTTTAATCAATTTTAATTTAATTCAACTCATAAGATAATAAATTATGTGCTTATTTTCAGCTTAAGATTCTTTATGGCGAATGAATTTTTAGAAAACGCCTTCACCTACTTACTTCCCTTGTCGTGGCTATGTCTTGACGACGTGAGAGAGAGAATAAAAACATGGCGTCCGTGGTGTCGTACAAGACAGAACGTTGACATCACAGTCAGCTACAACAAGGAAGATAATGCTTAATGATTTAAACACTATTAATTATTTGATGAAACTGTAAAATAATAATAATAATAATACTAATAATATTCTTATAATGTAAAAACGTGCATCCACTTTATAAGTTATTAATTAAAGTAAATTTACTTTTTTCGAATTTAATATATTTTTTCTCCGTCACTTTCCTGTAAAAATTAGTGTACACTTTCCAACGGTAAATAAAGGAGTCTCATATCTTTTTTGAGAAATAGTTTAAATAATGTGTTCATTGTTTTGTTGACACTTCAAGCTATAAATTTTTAATAATCTGAACTGTATGTTAATTATCTTTAGTAGATCTATTTTTATATGTTCAAAACTGTTTTTTGTTTCACTTGAAATAAAAAAAAATAAATAAAACAACGAGGTAAAGTTAAATGAAAAAAAATGTGGGTTAACTCAAGGAGTACTGGATCAGCCATTGGAAACTCTGCGGTCATTGTAACCTGACCTCAATCTGGGTCAGTGTGCTCGGCCTGGGATCACAACTGCACACACATCGACAAGCACAACCGTGCACACATTAAATTACACACGCAGATTCAAATATCACTCACACGCGGCAGACACAACGTGATGCAAACGTACTTTTGATACACACACAAACACACAAGGAACACACACACAAAACACACACACACAAAAGACACACAAGTAAAAAAGAGTCGCAGGGGTGTTAACACACACATAGACACACAATCACACACATAAGTAAAAGTAGTTGCAGTACGGCGCGCACACACACATATATCTCTTACACCAACACACACATACACAGACACATATATATATATATATATATATATATATATATATATATATATATATATATTAATCCAGAGTTGCAAACAACAAGCTTAGTTGTATAATATTATATATATATATTTATTTTTACAGCATCATATTTTAAACAGGATAAAATGCACCGCAACATTCTTGATATTTGTTGAAATTGAATACAATAAAAATTAAATTAATGTGAACTTGTTTGTATTTCATTTTAAGATATTTCTAAACATCTACCTTGACAAAAATTATCAGTCTAAGAATAGTCATTTTTTTATTAATCACAAACATTAAAACCTTCTCAAAACCAGTTTCAGATATTCTCTTTTACATGAAACAAATGGTTAAATAATATTGTGAAATTATTGCACGCCAGTTTATATACGATATATTATGATTAAAATGAAGTATATTTACAGTATTTTACAGTTAAATAACAAAACAATGGTGCAGCAAAAACTAAACACGACAGAAATTTTCAATATAAAAATAACATATGAGAACAAATCAGTGGTATTTCGAGAATTCAAATAGTGCGTTAAAATGTGAATTAACGTATTCCTAAATGATGTCATCTTCCTACATGGGATGTGGTGAACTCTGACCTTTGTAATGATAAGCTTAGTCTGGCGTTTTAGCAGTGACGGGGAGGGGGGGGGGGGGCTGAGTGGAGATTGTTTATATCAATATGTAATTTAAATCTCGCAAAGTTGAAAACAAAATGTTATGAAAATATTTCCTTTGTCGGAGAATTGGTTGTTTATGTGGTAACTTTAGTTTTGGTTTTGGTTTAGAGAAAAGTGTCAACACTATCAACCTAGCGCCCTTTGTATATATCTCTCTCAACGGGCCATTTATCTTGTCTATAATAGTAGTTTCGCTGTCTGTCTGTCACTCTCTTGGGAACGCTTTTATTATAGAGAAAACACAAGCAAAATTTAACAAAAAATCAGAGTAATACGGAAAACTAAACATGACGTCACGTGGGACATATAGTAGGAAATAATCTAAAGCCGAGAAAGTACACACAATAGTATGGCGTCATTGATTCTCGAGTAAAAAATCAATTAAAAAGCCAATGCTGAAACAATACACAATAGTAATGAAGTCATCGAAACTCCATAATAAAAACACTGTCATTCCCGCCTAATTCTTTTGTCGAATCTTAAAAGAGTTTTTCTTTCATGCATCTCTTCGGGTAGGGGGGAAACCCCTTTCCCGGTAGAAACGTCTAATCCCCCCCACCCCCCACAAAAAGAAACATAATTTATATAGAACATATATGCTTTTACCTCCACCGCCCCGGATAATTCTATTCGCTATTGACTATGATATAAAAAATCATAAAAATACAAGTAATTTTAAATTGTATTAACTGTTAATTTATAGTATGCTTTATTTAATATAATAGTATTCAGTGCATAAAATTCACTCACACGTACATTATTTTCATATTTTCATATTTTTAATGTATTCCATTATTATTTGCAACTAACATTTTGATATATCACTAGAGTCCCATGGTTGCAGTGTAAATTGTATGTTGTTAATCTATGTAGTATGACACAAAGAAATTATATATATTCTCTCAATACAAATATGTCTAAATGATGTTAATAGTGATATGAATTTTTTCTATTTAAAATGAGACAACTTAGCTGTATTAACATCCTCAATTTTTTTTTGTTTAGTTTGACCATAAAGTATTTAAAAAGTAATTCAAAATGGATTAAAAATCATGTCTATTATTGTCATGTGCTATCTCCCGCAGTGTTGTATAAGAATATTCGAGATAACTTAGGGGTGATTACTTCGGTTTATTTTGTTTTAGTTAAGAATAAAATTATTTTTTTAAATAAACCGGGAGTGATCTTCCCTAAACTTTCTCGAATATTCTTATATTACACTACGAGGAATGGCAACTCGGGATATAGACTCTATTTTTAAGCTATTTTTATTTACCCGAACGTTTTAAAATAGAATAGAATTTCGTAGAAAAAAGAATTGCGTAGAAAGTGAACGCCATATGACACCAAACAAAATGTGTATAAAAGTGCGGAATATTATTAGTACTTTATACATTCACATGCATTTTTTGAGAAATCGAAAGAAAGAAAAAATACTACTTGCGGTCAACGGAAATTACTCAAAATTTGAAAGAAAGCAGAGAATAAGTTTTTTTACTTACTTGTGAAATTTCATTTACCTATCTGAAATAGTACTCAAGTTATCGGCTTTTGAGAAATTCAAAGTAAAAAAGTTCCACTCCCGATTACCAGAAATCGCTCAAAAGTTGATACGGATCTACGATTTTGATAAAATAATTATATTTGAAATTTCATCAACCTAGCTGTAACGGTACTCAAGTTAAAGTAATTAAAATTGGATTGAAAATGTGTATATCCCGAGTTGCAATCCCCCGTAGTGTTATATAAGAATATTTGAGAAAGTTTAAGGGAGATCACTTCCGGATTATTTTTTAAAGTATTTAAAGTGTCTAAATAAACAGCAAAATGACTAACATGAAAATGTTACAACAATTATAATTATACAGTTTCATCACACAATTAATTTCGTGTAAATCATTAAGCATTATCTTCTTTAGAGTAGCTGACTGTAATGTCAATGTTCTGTCTTGTACGACGCCACGGACGCCATGTTTTTATTCTCTCTCTCACGTCGTCAAAACACAGCCACGACAAGGGGAGTAAGCACGGGAAAGCGTCTTGTAATGCTTCATCCGCCATAAGAAATCTTAAACTGAAAATAAGCACATAATTTTGACCTAAATAAAATAAAAAATTATAAAGTCTGTGCTAAAGTAGAGAGAAGATAATTTGAGGATGGACATTAGAAAATATGTCAAATTGCAGAGTTTCTTATCTGCATCAGGTATATCATCACGCTATATGACCAGTGTTTCTTCCAGACATTTTTCTCCGGGTGGGGGGGGGGGGGCACTTGAAATTTTCGGGGGGGGGGGGGCTGTAGACTTTCTTCGGGGGGGGGGGGGGAGCGGACACTGTTAAAAGTATATATTTTCTATATAAATTATATAAATTTCATTTCGTTCGGGGGGGGGGGGGCGGTAAAAATTTATTTTGGGGGGGGGGCTAAGCCCCCCCGAAGAGATACCTGGAAGAAACTCTGTATATGGCTAGACATAATTAACATTTGCCTCTAACATTATCAGGACGAACATAACATAAGGGCTCTCACAGATGTGAACTATCAGGTACGGATAGTAGGATTTGCACATTGGATCGAAAATTCAGTGGAGCTGTAAAGTGTCCTTTTTCCTTTTATTTTATCTTTCTTCACTGACATCACTAGCTAAGCAGGTGTTTGTCATTAGTCAGGTAGACCTCAACACGTGCCAACTTGTTATGCGCCATTGAAGTCATCGATTTTCAGCCTGCTTTTTTTTTGGATTTGCTTCCATAGCCTTCGTTCAACCAAGAACAAACTACAAGGCAGCAGATGTTTGATTCTGGAGTTGACTCACCTTGATGAATTGCTGTCCCCAGCTATCGAGCCTCATTTGCCCTTAGGTTCAAACCATGAGCTTAACCAACCCGACATCACCGACCTCTTAGGGACGATGATACAATGTCCATTTTAATTGTCCCTCTAATTAAATCCATGAGTTTTATGTCGACACGTTATTTATTAGGAAATCACTGACAGGTTAGGATACGTAGAAGAACGTCCGGAAAACGTACCAGATAAGGACATGTACAGCATGCATGCCCCTATTGCCTGCAACTAGCCAGTGATACATATTTTTTTTTCGATAAGGCAATCCAAATATATATATATATATATATATATATATATATATATATATATATATATATATATATATATATATATATATATATATATATATATATATATATATATATATATATATATTGCGAATTTAAACTTTTAAACATAAATTATTAAACAGACAATACTTACGTTTCCACTATTGAACTCGATGAGTCCTTAAAATCAGAAATGACCTGTAGAGCGTAGCAAACCACACACAGACACACTGCTACAATGTAAGCCACAGGCTTGTCCACTACGGTGCCACGGTCCATTAGTTCCACACCAGCAGACTGACCAAATAGTCCCAGTTTAAATCGCCGTCGATAGCTCACAATGGCAACAACTAACAGCACAATAGCAGATAGAAGAGGGGCTATTGCGGTGATTACATCTAACTTTTGCACATCTTCTTGTGTAGTTCTTACGCAATGATAAGGATTTATCGGATTTTGGTTACTTAATATATGAATTGTTGGTGGTATTATAATGACTGCTAATAGTAATGGAAGCGACAAAACAACAACTGTTCCTATCTTAAGACTTTTATTATTTAATAATCTTCTTGGATCCAAATCTTTGAGCTTTCCAATATAAACAATTAGCAGCGCAACAATGTACCATGTGATGATAAAATCAACTAAC